TTTCGGAATACAAGATCACTGTCAAAGCCATGCAAGAGAAATCAAAATTAGATCAGGTTGGGAAGCCAGAAAGAAAAAAAGGAAAAAAAAAAAAAAAACTACATCCTAGAGGTGGGTCATTGAGAATCGTAACATCCAAGTTCTTGTGATACGCTTGTTGAGCAAGCCAGTTCGCACAATTATTTGATTCTGTGAAGACATAATTAAGACTGGTGATCCAATCCTGCATGATAGAACTTTGTATAACCAAGAGGTTTGTTGTTTTTGTGCAGTGTGGTTTTCCTTGAATTTAGTTCCCGAGTGATGCTGTAAGTAAAGTGAAGAGAGAGACAGTGATGAAGAGATGAACTTCCTTTTTATGGAGCCCCTGTTGTTAGAAGTGGGACCCATCATATACTATCTTCTTTCTTCACCTAGAATCATTTGAGGATCCAACGATGGTCTTTCTCAGTGATCAAATTTCTAGTATCAGAGAGTTGAGGTTGATAGCGAATTTATATGTGTATGTAAAGTTATGCCGGTCATGTATAGACATTATGAAAGATTCCAAGTGTAGTTTGACATTTGAAGAAGGAAATTGCCAATGAGATTCAAAGATAATATATAAACCACTAGTTCTTTATTATAATATTCAAAGATCACAGTTTCCAGTTCACTTTTAACAGCACAGGTGACCGCTTCCTCCATTGGCAATGCTTCTGCCATGAGAATGGATGTAGCTTTGCGTTTCTTCACTAAACCAGCAAGCAACCAACCATTAGAGTCTAATCACAAAACCGATAGCAGCATCACCGGAGTCCTCTACAAAAGCACAATCTATTTCCTGCTAACTTTCTTTATTTCTTTTAACTATTATTTTTTCCAAAAAATAATTTTTTATTTAAAACGAATTAATTAAAAATAGGAAAAATTCGTCATTAGACTAAGATGATGACTTGCATAAGAAAAAATAAGTTGCATGAAGGGAAGATAATTTGAACAAAATATTATTTGAACACAAGAAACTACTTTGCATATAGAGAAGATGACTTGCACACAACAAAAATTTAGGAGTATAAAAAAAAGTTGAGTTACACATCACATAAAGAAAGATGATTATGCAATAAGAAAGATAAATTGCACGTAAAAAAATTAAATTGCATGAAATGAAAATTGAGTTACACAAAGTACTCAGAGAATACTCCTTCCGTTCCTTATTATAAGAGACAAATAACCAAATTCGTTGATAAAAAAACAATTAAAATTAGTTGAGGACAATTAATATGTAAAAAGTATAATGTTTTTTTCCAACAATGCCTCCATTAATAAGGAGAGAGAGTATGAGAGAAAACAATTAAATTATTAAAAGAAAGAGAAGTGGGAGGAAGAGAGAGTATGAGTTGGAGACAAAATAAATAGGGGTAAAATAGGAAATCAATACAAAAAAATAGAAACAACTTTTAAGTGTTTCTTATATATGGAAACATGTTATAAGCATCAAATGTCTCTTATAATAAGAAACGGAAGAAGTATTTGCCAGTTAAATTTAACAAGAGATTTATCCTCAATTTTTCTTTAAAAATATTAAATCTGGATTGGAGATATGATAAGCACCCAGACGAGGTCACCAGAAGGTTGATTTGACTGGGTTGAGTGTGGACGCTTCCCGGGTTCTCCCATGATTTTAACTAGACGCTGCGTTTTGTTATGCGGAGTACCCAAACCAGAGCGGATGCAGAACGGCGGGAGAAAGCCAAACCAAACCTTTTCTTCGTGATAAGTTTACTGCCAAAACTGGGAGAGTATACGAAAAACAGCAATTTAAGAACAAATATGATTCCCTGCGAAAAGAGTGGCAGACATGGGATAGGCTGCTTCGCGAGACAGGATTGGGATGGGATACTGAAAGGAATACTGTCAGTGCAACTGATGATTGGTGGGAGAGGAAAATAAGGGTAATTATTAAACCTTTTGATCTTACATTTTCTCTGCCTGTTAATGTTTTGTGCATATTTACTGTTTTTTGAATATTTTATGATATTATTGATGTATAATGTGCAGGAAGTTCCAAACTACGAAAAATTTAGAGAAAGAGAACTTCAATTTAGGGATCAATTAACTCAACTGTTTGGGAGTGTGGCTGCAACTGGACCACAAGCATGGGCACCTTCTTCCATGACACTTCCAAGTGAAGGAACACCGAATGAAGATTTGGAAGAAGGGTCTGGAGATAGTGATGAAATTTTAGGCGCACCAACTGGTATAAGTGGGGAATTTAACACAGTGAACTTCAATGATAATAGTGGAGGTAGTGGAGGCAACACTGAATTGAGGCAGGATACCAGTGGTGGGGGTACAAGCAGAGGTAGGAGTCGACCTAGTAGCTCACTGGGGGTCAGAAGGAAGAGTGAAGTCAAGAAGAAACGCACATCTCCCTCTATGAAAATAGCGGATGCAATTAGCAAGATTGCTGAAACAAATATTTCTGAGGCCGAGCATGGAAATGAGGTCATTTCACGAGCAGAAGCTAGAAGGTTGGAAGAAGAAGCGCGTGCTTATGAGATTTCAATTAGAGGAGTCCTGTCTCACCTGAAAACAATTCCTGAAGTTGTCAGTGATCCTGATTTCTTTAGACGGTGCACACAACTCCTTATGGAACGGTCGGATGCACGAGAAATGTATGCAGCTCTGAAGGATCAGAAGGAACAACTTCTACCCATTTTAGAGCATTTTACTAGGGATTTATGACTTGTTTATTATATTAGACAGTTCCATATGTGTATGTTTTATGTGACCAGTGGATTGTTATATGAATCAGACAACTCTGTAACTTTTATAAATGTTTCGTAATTTCTACGTAGGAATTCTAAACTTTATGTGTATGTGCACAGGATAAAACGAATATGGATGATGAAATTAAACATGTGGAAGAGCATGCTAAGGGACGGAAAAAAAGGGTTAACAAAGTTGCAGCATTGGTTGGTGCATACGCTACTTTGAACTTGTGTAAGGAGCCTCGGCATACAAGTGCTTATACAGGCTGCATATGGGTAAGGGATGTTTTAGATGGCAACTCCAGTCGTTGTTATAACATGTTTAGGATGGAACGGGATGTGTTCTTAAGTCTGGTGGAACAATTGCAACAACATGGTCTAAAAGAAACTAAAAATATAGGGATACATGAATCAGTTGCAATGTTTTTACATACCGTTGGGCATGCACTTAGTAGCAGAATGCAGCAAGAAAGATTTCAACATTCAGGGGAGACAATTAGCAGACATTTTCATAATGTCCTAATGGCATGCTGTAGACTTGCCATGTCTAATATCAAACCAAAAGATCCAACATTCCGCCATGTTCATACAAAAATTCGGTTTGGTAAATACTGGCCTTTTTTTAGACATGCTATTGGAGCAATTGATGGCACACATGTTTCCTGCGTTGTCAGTGCAACAGATCAAACTAAATTTATCTCTAGGAAAGGAACAGTGTCACAAAATGTCATGGCGGTTTGTGATTGGGACATGTGTTTTACTTTTGTCTTGGCCGGATGGGAAGGTAGCGCACATGATGCTCGGATATTTGATCATGCCCTCACAACTCCTTCAATGAACTTTCCCCATCCACCTGAAGGTATTTTTTTATTTCCTATATTTTTTTTATATTTAGCTTAACAATAGAAACATAATTTACAATAATTTCATTTTTTATATAGGAAAATATTATTTGGTGGATGCTGGATACCCAACACCGAATGGATATCTCGGCCCATATAGACGGGAGCGTTACCATTTGCCTGATTTTCAAAGGACATCTGGGTTTGAAAATGACAATGAGATCTTTAATTATTTCCATTCAAGTTTAAGGAGTACAATTGAAAGAACTTTCGGAGTTTGGAAAAAAAAGTCGCAATCTTACAAAACATGCCATCTTATGATTTTGAAACACAAGTTAAAATCGTTTGTGCAACGATGGCTATACATAATTTTATTAGAACGACATCTATTACTGATCCTGGATTCGTTCAGTTGGAAGAAGAAGGTACTTATGCAGAAGATGATGATGATGGGGTTAGATTTTCACGTATACATTCATCAATTCAATCTTCATCTTACATGGCTCAGGTTCGTGACAGCATAAGAGACGAACTTGTTAATTCAATACGAGGATAGTAGTCATGTCTTATTTATTTCCTTTTATCATAGATTGTAATATGTAGTTAAAAACAAAACCTATTACAAATGCTTTGTATCGATGCATCATCTTAATGATTACGACACTTCTTTATTTATATTTCTCTTATTAATATTATGCCTTATATTCTCAAGCTAATTATTACTTACTTGAATAATTAATAAATTATTTTAAGACGTGTTTATTCTATTTTATCAAACAATATCATCCCATTTTATGTTTATAATCTTCATGAAAAATACATGACTTTCTGTTTGCAACAAAATAATTCATCTTCTCTAAAAATATTTTTCACTCTTATATTTTATGAATATATATGTGTGGTGACAATTAATTAATTAATTGTATTAAACATCAGAGGTTATTATACATGTAGTATGTTATTACAAAAAGTAGTTATGAAAAAATGTTATGGGATTTCACGTTTACAATCTTTAAACAAAATTAATATTTTTCTATTCTAAAAAAATCATTTTTCTATAAACATATTTAATATTATGTTTTATAAATATATGTACACATATTAATTATGTATTAATTATATTATCTTATATATTATTAATTATGTTAGTAAAAATTATTTCATTAACAATTTTATTTCTTCAAATCAAAATAAATCATAAAATATATCCCTTATATAATTATCATATTAACTTATACCCTTTTTGGTCATTTCCACATGTAAAAAGCACTTCTGGTAATAACTATCCAAACACTCTCACTTCTCAGAATCACTTTTTCTCAGAATCTATTCTCCAGAATCACTTTTCCAAACCACGTTTTGAAGTCATCAACACGCCCCTAATCTGCCTTTTCCCCTCTCACCGCTCTACAACAGTGCGACTATTCGGGCGTGGAATTCTCGTTCCTTTGGTTTGGAAATTCACATACGTTTCCGGATTTGTGAGTAGTCTCTCAGTGTCAGAGTTCTTTCTTTACTAGTTTTGTGGTAGTAATGGATCCTCTTGGTACTTTCTTCGACAAATTGAAAGGTTTTACTAAATCGAGCCAAGAATTCTTCGCCGGCCTTATCCCTGGCAATGGCCACCGCCGGAACTCTGCTTCTCGTAATCCGGTATGTTTCCCCACTTCAACCGTCATGTCTGATTCTAGCATATTCCACACGTATTGTTCTTTGAGCACAATGTTATTCTAGGCGACGCGCTGCTGTCTTTGCATTTTGAATAATGTTGGGCATTGTCCTTTATTTATTGCAAGAAAAGGATTTTCCGCTGGTTTTATTGACGAATAAAACTGCGGCGACCTTTGATCATTTAGTCTGCGTTGCGAAATTGGATGGTTCTAAAGTGAGGGGTGAGCATTATGCGGCACACTTTGATATTTGACATCATTCTTTTATGCCTATCATAAAATGGATGTTGCACAATCTTACCCTAAACTATTCATTTCAGTGGACTTACTTGTTTGTTATCTGATGTTCTATTTGTTTCGTGGGTTCCTTCATTCGCATTTTATTGATACTGGTTTCAATCAATGAGTCTTTGGCATTTCTTATGATTTCAGAAAATGTACGCATCTATACGCTCATTACAATAAGATTTCAGACCATCAACTTGAAAAATCTTTGGTGCTTGATGTTCTCTTGTTGTTCAAATTTGTTTGTCAATGAAGTTTGTTCGCTGTTGTGTATATCATAGACGAACTAGGAGTTCCTTACGCAGTGGTTTCTTCGTGATATGCTTGACAAATGTGTACACGATAATAATTTCAGATTGAAATCCTAAAACGTTTACAGAGAGAAGCTTTTTCGGATCTCATGAAACTGAGGGAAAGACAAGACAAGGTTGAAAGAATACTTTCCTTCTATAAACCCTCTGCAGGAGGTCCATTTCAAGAAGCTACCACCCATGTAAGGGGACAGGTGGATCTTTTGGGAGCTGTGTTGATGATGAATAATATTGATGAGGATAATTTAGATTTAATAAATAGAGCTGGAATAAGGACTGGAGTTGATTCGAGGTTAATTTTTGAAACAAACATCAGGGATAAGAATACTCTTGTTGCAGAGTTTGTGGCCAGTCAGAACGGTAAAGATCATGACACTGATGTCCTGGGAAGCTCGCTTTCTCTGGCGAAACTCTGTTATATGGCAACAGTTAGTGATTGGTTATCTGTGATGGCTATCCCTATGGGAGCTCAATGCAAAGATGTTGCAATTGCTTCGAAATCTTTCCACCAGGTACTACAGAATCTTATTTGTTTCTTTTTGGTGACTTAGTAATGTTCACATTGAGAACTTGAAAATTTTTATCCCAAATCCAAGCTTTTGTCATTTCTACCCTATAAAATTTGGGTAAATATTACTTGTTACAAGTTCTGAGAACATGGAAACAGCCTATAATGGTTAAAAAAAAAAAAAAAGAGAAGAGAAAGAAGAAGAATCTATTTTTATCTTTTTCCCGGGAAGTGTTAGAATTTGCAGCCATTGGTTGTTTGGTTCTCGTATTTGGCTGACAACAGATTTCATCATCCTGAGGTTAAGTCATGTGTATCTAGACAAATAGATGGTTCACCATGCCTTTTAAATTTAATCTGGAGTAACCAAATTGTAAATATATCTTTGCATTTGCAATTGACATGACTTTAAAGTCATACATTTTTTTCTCCTGATTTGTCTTCTTTACCTCCCTATATAAACTGAAAAATTTCTTAGAGTGAAAGTATATTCATGCAAAAAGGACTTGTCTATAATTCTGTTTTTATTTTATCTGGTTTTGGCTATCATTTGTTTATAGGGCCCTAATTGCCTCATGTGTTTCTGTGCATCAAGCACGGAAAGGGCCTTACAGACGTTTCCTCGGCTGGACCACCACTACTGAATCTGCAGAATGGTAGTGCCATCAGCATGATGGTGAGAAAATCAAATATTGTTGCTTCATTGGCTCAATTTGTATCCGGACTTGGAATGCCATTAGGTCCTAATGCAAGTGAGAATTGGTCCAGCACTTTCACTGAACTTTCATGTCAATTACCCAGAGGAACGAAGCTATCTGTTATGGGTCTCTACCAAGTTCCACTCTCATCAGCAGAACCATCAAAACTTGGACCTCTTGCATTTCCAATACTCACGTCAGAACAAGCAGAGCCAGAAGTACCTGAAACTGTCTATGGAGTATATCCTTGGTCGGAAACAAAGACACGTGTCTCCACTAGATCGATTGCCCTTGCATTGGAATCAGAACTTGATGATATCACAAAGATTGGAGGTTGGGTTGAGATGAACAGGTCAAATGTTCAATGGGGAGTGAGTGTGTCTGATGTCTCAGAAGATTCGTTTGGCTGGGGAATGAGCCTTAATGGTATGATTGGAGATTCATTAACCGGGGATCTCTTTCAGGCTGAATCCTATCTGAAATTTAACTTGGGTAATAAATTCTGCTTGAAGCCAGGTCTCGCTTATGCGGCTGCTGGGAATTCTAAAGTAGTTGGTTTGATGCTACGCTCTAGTTGGTCCTTCTGATCATTTAAGCTCAATTGAGTTGCATTGTTATGTACTTTTTGTTCAGGTGCTCATTATTTTTTCATCGACGTATATAATCCAAATCATTTTTTTTCTCGGATCGTTCTGTGCTTATAAATTTAAGATTTTTCTTTTAAAAATTAATTTACAATGTTATATCCATTCGTACAAGCATACATAGTGTCGGATTGTATTCCCTTGGGCATGCCTTTTCAAGGTATGGGAAATTTTACAATAGCCTAGGCGGACTTGTGTGTCATGCAAATCTTATCAATGGTTTTGTTTTTTTTAAATACTCTCAACAGTCTGATTTGTTGTAAATTCTATATTTTTAAGTGTGCATAAATTTTATATTTTACATCAAATTTGTTATATGCTAAAGAAAAAATAATTATCTAAAATAAGATTTGATCATTCGATTTACTTAAATGAATCAATTTATTTGAAAAGATAGATGTAAAAACAGTAACAAATCATATTATAATAATATAAGTGATGAGTAGTTAAATGTTATAACTTATAAGGGATCATGTCCTGTTAATTGGCTTTGAAGACCCACGTTTCCTCTAAATCGTGAGAATTTTTTTTTTTGGATATTAGTTACTTTACTTCTCTTCTTTTTATTATTATTTTAGATATGATCGTTATGGTTCCCCCCCCCCCTATTTCCCAAAATTTATATAATAACACTCATAATTTATGTAATACTTAAAACTCTTGATGTCCCCCTATATTTACCTAAAAATAAAGATAAAAAGGTAATTTTAATCTTAATCTTATTTTTTTAGGTGTAATATTATCTCTAACATTTTTAGTAGTGCAATTTTATTATGATCTTATTAAGTATAATTGTACCCCTGAAGAGTAAAATTGCATAAAAAAAATTTATGGGTGTAATTGCTCAACTAAAAAAATTAGGCATAAAATTGCACATTTACCTTAAAAATTAAACAAAAGGCATCTAAAGTAGTATACACAATTTACAAAAGGCTGATTGTTGCTTACTCAGAATTTAGGGAAAATGACAAATAAAAGAGCTTGAAATTATGATATTCTAATTTAAGGATTTAAAACTTCAAAATGACAGGATTAAAAAAAATCAAATTAAAATTTTGAAATTCAAGAAAAATAATAAAAATACTCTGTTGTTTTTTTCCTTAAAAGTTTGGAATTGTCCAAACTTTGGCATTGGCCAGGTGGCTAGTGTGGGAGCTTTTTTTTTTTTTTTCCCCTCTCCTTTGAAAGGGAGGAAATGGAGTTAGTGGGGGTTTTTTTTTTTTTTTTTTACATTAAAGCATAGGTATCCTCTTATTGGAGGCAATTCTATTTGAAGTACTATCGAACATTAAATGTAGGCAACTCTCTCAGTAGAAATTTGAGCATTGGTTCATTACATTATGAAAGATTAGTCCCTTTTACTAGATCCAATCCTGTTGGCGAGGTTAGTGGTATTTGATCCCCAACTAACCGGTTCTCAAAATTAAAGGTTACCACTAAGCAAAAAGCTTTGTTAACACTATAAAGTTAAAAAAAAAAACAAATAAATTAATTTTTTTACTTTGGCCTCAGCTCTTGTTTTTGATAACATTAGTTTTAGCTCTTGACAGTAATTCATCTAGGAATCAAAAGTCGTGATTGTGAAATAACAAGTCTTGATTATTGTCACAAGTACTTTGTATTTGGCAATAGTAAATGCCTAAATTGAAATATCATAATTTCGAGCTTCTCTATCTGTTATTTTTCCCAGAATTTATTTATTTTTGTTCTCTTTTCTTTTCTATAAAATTCATTTTTATTTGGAAAAAATTTAAAAATGCCAAATAAAAAATGTCAATAAAAATTTATTGTTATTTATAAATTTAATATTGTTAACGTTTATTGGTTCACTTTGATCACCCAGAAAACTTCGCCAAAGAGACAAAGGAACCTGGTATTATTATTATTATTGACATTATTTCGGGAAAGGCCCAAAAGGAATTCCGTTGCCGGGAATCGAACCCGGGTCTCCTGGGTGAAAGCCAGATATCCTAACCGCTGGACGACAACGGATTGGTTGATCGCTCGTTTACGCAAATATGTATTTCATCATTTTTTTAACTTTTCTGGCGTCCATTTAAAGCACCTCATGCCCAGCTCCAACGCAAAGAGGAAAACTTCTGAATTTGGAAACTAAACCAATCGTCTGGTAATTACTGATTGTATGCTTTCCTGATACCAACGGGGTTCTTAGATCAACACCCAAAAAAAAAAAAAATCTCCTATGAGAATTAAAATTTAATTTTTTATTAAGAAAAATATCAATATTTAATATTTAATAATATTTGCTTTCAATAAAAAAATAATTATGCCTAGCAAAAAAAAAAATTTCCCAGTCCTTATTGCCACGATTTATTGGTAATTTAAATTCAAAATTCATTTAAAATTAGCTTATATTTTTAAAAAGTTTAAAAAACTATTCTCACAACTTTATATTCAAGAGAACTTTAAGGGAAATGTTGAGCTATAGGTCCCACATCCCAACATGAGAATCCTTTGATCATAATACCCACTTCGATTTTTATTATAAGTTTGAAATAACTTTCAAATAATTAATTTACAGATAATTAAAAATTAGTTAAAAATAATAAATATGTTAGAAATATATTTTTGTTTTCAAGTATATCTTTATAATAAATAAGAAAAAAAGATAAAAGAGAATGTATGAGAAAATATGACAATAGAAAAATAATTAAAGGTAATATTAAAAATATGTATCAAAATGTTAAAACAAACTCAAATTAAAGTTTGTAAAATAGACTATAATCGTTCTCAAATTTAAAGTTTATAAATATAACCGGAGGGAGCAGTTGAGATATAAGGGATTATTTAGAATAGAAACAGATAATTTCATTAAAAAATGAATGACAGAGAAGCAGATACCAAAAACCAAAAAGGCCATTACGAGGAATAAATCTAGATGTACACGTCTTCAACAGACGCATGAGTTTCTTCTTCCTGACGAAACAGACGAATATAATAGCGACGGTGTTTTGGACTTATGACTTTATTGAAGTACCTACTTTGAATTACTTTTAACAAATCAAATTAGGAATATATAAAAATAAAAATAAGTAGACGTCACACGTGTGAGTAGATAATTACTACCTCCGGTTCTTAATATAAGATCCTGTTTGACTTTTTGTTTGGTCTTAATTATAAGACCCCAATCTATTTTGTCTTTCATATTTATGCATTTTTTTTTTCCAAGATAGTCCTTATAATAATGATATTTTTAGCAAATACACTTAATTAGCAAGAATATTTTAGGAATGACAATACTTATTTATTACAAATAACTAACTTAACTTACTTTCTTAATCTCCTCAAATAAGTCAACTGGGTCTTATAATTAGGATCGAAGGCAGTATTATTTTACGCACACATACACATGTTTTATACGATTATATATGATATTATCACGTCATATTTAAGTGTTATGGCGCCTAATTAAAGGTAGCTCTCCCAACATACTTTCTTTTTTCAAAAAAAAGAAAATGATTCAAACTCTCCACTTTTTTTTTTTTTTAAATAGAATCAAGTTTCTTCATTCAACCACCGTATTTGATTATGAAATTATATTAGGCATCACATATAATTTTGGGATTGTGCAAGTATAAATGCATAACATCCATAAAATATGTTAGATGATCCTCCTCCATGGCATTTTGACTTTTGGTAGATGTTCAAATACCCATTAATTGTAATATATTGATGCTTCAAAATCTTTTTTTTAAAAAAGAAACTAAGCTTTCAGATAATAACAAATGATTCACACGCATATTCAAATACAGTTGCAAGTGTCATTATCTCCCGTTTGATCGTTGATTTATTACATGACATGTGTGCCGTCATTTTGAAAAGTCATTCACAGAGCCACCTTAAAGTCAAACTTAAATCCGCCCATGTTGTTATGTTGGAATTCTCTTCCCTTCAAATGGAATATCAAACATATTCAACCTACACAGACATATTTATTACAGTATGATTGATCCCAATGAAGCTCATTTCCTCGTCTAAAGACATGAGGCTTCCTTCTTCTTTTTACATTCTGCTTCTGTCTCTGCTTTCTGCAACTCTCCATTGTTTCTGCCAACAAGAATACCTTAACAACACAGTCTATGACTGCAATTTCAACCTCACAGCAAAAGCAGGATATGTCTGCAATGGCCTCCAAAAGTCATGCACTTCCTTTGTAACTTTCAGATCAAGGCCTCCATACGATACTCCTCAAAGCATCGCCAATCTTCTTAGCTCAGAAGCAAGTTCCATAGCCTCCATCAACAACATCTCAAGCAATAACATAAACAGCAATATTCCTTCCAATCGGACTGTGATTGTTCCTGTGTATTGTTCATGTTCAGGCAATATCTACCAGCATGCCACTTCTTATGAGATGAAAAAAGGAGACTACTACTTCAAATTGGCCAACAAGACTTATCAAGGCCTTGTCAATTGCCAGATGCTAGTACGTCAGAATTATTACCTTCCTGTCAATATCAGTATTGGAGCTCAAGTTTCAGTTCCAGTGCTGTGTGCTTGTCCCACAGAGAGACAGATCTCAGATGGGGTCTCTTCCTTGCTGGTTCATACCCTTGATTATGGGGATACGCTTGAATCAGTTGCAGAGTCCTATGGTGTGGATCAACACAGTTTGATAACTGCTAATGAGTTGCCTTCAAATGCCACTATCTCTGCTTTGACACCTATTTTAGTTCCACTTAAGCCTTCTTCCTGTAAACTCAATCCACATATATTCTACTGCTCCTGTTCATTCTTTCAGCTTTACCTTTCAAATTCAAGTTTCAAACCTCCCAATTGTGGTCATCTTCAACCACATGCAAACCGTTTCCCTGTAAGATTGGTTGCTTCCATAGGTAAATCTCTTTTCAGATCTTTCCAGATAACCATGTTCTTAGCTAAGCATGATTGCGACTCACGTCAACCTGTTATCATAGGAAAATATGCAGAAGATATAGTTGTTTCCAAAAATGTTTATGAATCTCACTCCCCTAAAATGATATTGACTCTCACTTGTTTGCTGTTGGGTATATGGGA